ACAGACAAGGCAGTCTTCTCAGCCATCTGTCATGGAGACGCTGGCTAAGTGTGGCCAGGCTTCAACGTGTGCGGGTCTTTTTAGTACAGACCTCAGCCAGTAAAACAAAATGGGCCAGCCAAGCTTTCTCTGCAGCTGTTCCACAGAATGCTGCCTTCCACCCTGAAGCTTCCGCCTCACGTCCCACTAGCAGCCACCTCTGTAAGCTACACTCTGAGAAGCAGAGTTTTATCTTGAGATAGTGTGTTCATTCGTTGGCTTGTTCATTTGTTCGCTTGTTCCTTCATTTACAGAACATTAAGCACGTTCTCCCCGGGAATGTGCTGGACATTGAGAGTACAAAGATGAGTTCCTGCCCTCCTGGGGCTTACAGTCTAAGTGCGGGAGACAGACACCTCACCTCTGAGTCGTTTTGAAAGTATGATTTATTACAGACTGCCATCTCACATGTTGTTAAACCCTCATCTCCCAGGTGGACGTAACTATTTCAGTGGGCCCAGGAGGGTGGGTGGGGAGCAAAGATGGAGTCCTCCCTGGATTCTGGCAGACATTTCCTGGGTGTGAGCTTGTCTGTCCCTGCATATCAGTGGACGTGCCAAGTCCATCCCAAGGGGGGCCTGAGGCCATCCTGTTTGCTCCCCTCACTCCTCACGTCCCTCTCCCACCCCACTCTGTATGCTGGGTCACCTCGCAGGCTTGGTGCAGTGCACTCCAGCTGCAGTGTCTCTGACCTGTCACCAATCACCCAAGCCTTTGGTCGCCACTTTGATCAACTGGTCTGGCATGTCTGTTGCCCCACACACCAGGTCAGCACTGCCCAGCCTGGCATTGGAGGACCCAACCTGCTGATGAGCCTTACTCCTGACAACTTGCCTGGGCAGTCTACTCAGTGGGCCCTGGAACACCCCACCACTTACCTGGTGGCCCTTCCTCCAGCGCCCTCTCCTCTCCTCTGCTTGATCAAGTCCTTACTTATCCCTCCCTCCCCTCAGCCCCCAGCCTCTGCTAGAGCAGTGCTTCTCTACTTGGCTGCATACTGATATCACCTGGGGAGATTAAAAACCCACCCATGCCCAGGCTGCACCCCTGATGAATTCAGTCAATCTCCAGGGTAGGATCCAGGCATGAGTCTTTTTTTTAAACAAAGAAATATATATATTTTTCAAGGCAACCATCTTCTGCAAATTTGCCTCCTTCCTTTATTTATTTATTTATTTATTTTTTAAGAAGGAAAAGCATTTATTGAGCATTTATTATATGTCAAGCATTGTGATAGGGTTAAGGGTTGGGAATGGAGAGAAAAACAAGACATAAACCCTCCTGTCACAAGGAAGTCACGTCTAGTAGGAGAGACAGGTGAACAATTAAAGGCGATAAAGCATAGTGGTTAAGAGCACGGGATTTGTAGTCAGACAGACTTGAGCTCAAGACCAGGCTCAGCCACCTACTGGTCTCCTTCCTTTATTTTTTATTTATTTATTTATGTTTCCTCCCCAAAGCCCCAGTACATAGTTGTATATTCTGGTTGTAGGTCCTTCTAGTTCTTCTATGTGAGCCGCCACCACAGCATGGCTACTGACAGATGAGTGGTGTGGTTCTGCTCCTGGGGACTGAACCTGGGCCACCGAAGTGAAGCGCACCAAACTTTTACCACTAGGCCATCGGGGCTGGCTCTGAGTCTTTTTTTTAATGGTCCAGGTGGTTCCACTGTGCAGCCAAGGTAGAGAACCAGAGTCAATTAGCTTTTCATTGTTCTTTTTTTTTTTTTTTTAATTTTGCAAAGCATTTGCTTTCCTTTTATTTTATTGAGGTCGTAATAGTTTATAACATTGTGAAATTTCAGTTGTACGTTATTATTTGTCAGTCACCATGTATATGTGCCCCTTTATCCCTTATGCCCACCTCCCAACCCCCTTCCCCTCAGGTAACCACTAATCTGTTTTCTTTGTCCATGCGTTTGTTCATCTTCCACATATGAGTGCTTTTCATTGTTCTTCAATCAGCTTCACCCTGCTCAGGATTTGCCTCCAGGGCTTATTTCATTTCCCGGACAGAGCCATGTGCTAGGTGGTCCCTCTCTGGCCCAGCCAAGGCCCTCAGCAGCGGCTTGTTTGCTGGAACCTTTATTGGCTCTCTTCTTCACCTCCCCTGGCTGCCTGCTCAGCATCTGCTACTCAGTTTTGTGTCCTTTCTCATCTCCACCAGGCTTCCTCTGCCCCCATTGTGCCTGCTGTTCTCCACAACCAGCACCCCAGCAGACTCCCTGTCCTGGACCTTATCCCCTTCTCCCTGTTGGGGAGCCATATGGAGAACCTGCTAAACTCGTATGTAGAGTGCATGCAGGGATATTTGTGCAGCGCTTTATCATAATAAAAACATCAGAGGGGAGGAATGATTTGGAAACTAACGATAGGAGATTGATTCAATAAATCATGAATTGCAATGCAATAGAAGATTATACAACAATCAAAATATTTATGAAGAATTTTTAGAGTCATGGAATATAACGTTAAGTGTAATGACTAGAACACAATACTAGATATAGTGTGAACTAGGCTGTCTATTTATAGAGAAAAGCCTGGAGGGAAATATACCAAAATACTAATAGTGGTTATCTCGGTGTGGTAAGATTATAGTTGACTTTCTTTTGTTGTTACAGTTTTATATTTTTTTTAAAAATATTATACATTGCACATGTAATATGTTTGTAATCAGAGAAAAAGTGATTTAAAAAATTAATTGGGCTATTAATGTCATATGATGGCTTTTTGGCGTCAATCCAAGTGTGTAATGGGGAATTTCAATTTCAGACAACATGGAGTTGGTAGGGGCGAGTCCTGGGATAGGATCTGAAGGGGGACCTTTTAGGAAAATAAGATTGTCTTAAAGGTAAAGGCCCCTGAGAGGGTCAGACCAGCGAGCCGGCAGTGGAGAGGCCCACCTAGCAGTGGAGATCTTGGCCCATCCCTGAGCCCTAGGGCTGGTGAGGTGGGGCCTTTTAGGAGCCTTGCTCTGGTGCTGGGTGCTGATTGGCTCCCCCTTGGCCTCACAGAACTACTGACATTTTTCTTTGTGCTGTCTCTGCAGATAGTTAACCTTTGGTTATACTTGCTTTGCCTTGATATGATGAATTCATTGAGTAATTATTCATTCACCAGGTGCTCGAATAAAAGTCACTTAATATAATCCCAGGTGTCATGTAACAGTTTGTCCTGACCAGTGACTTGTGCTTGGTTTTGCATATTCCACTGAAGGAAGTAGTGTGCAGACAGCACCTGCCTGTTCATTAATAGAATAAAGCTGTCACACAGCCAGACCACTTATTATAACCATCAATAAAAGAGCTCTCCCCAAAATAAGGAGGGGAAAAAAACACATAATTTTTATCTTTTCTGTCCTCAGCCAGCATATTGTAGTTTCAGCTGCAAATAAAGACTATCTGATTAACATTAGCTGAAATAATAGGGGGTTATTCATTTCAACGGTGAGAAGTCTGGGCACTAGGTCATTCTAGGGTTGGTGAGTGGTTCCTCAGGATTGTCAGTCACCCAAGCTCTTTCTGTTTTTCTGCTCTGCTATCCTCAAGATCACCAAGAGCATTGGCCATGCCTTCCTTATGGTCATAAGATGGCTACCACAGCTCCAGGCATGCTATCCTTGCCCAACAGCATCCCAAGCAGGAAGGAAGAGGGGGCAGCAACACAAATGGCCTTCTCCTCACTTGCCTCTCTCTAGCCAGAGAGGAAAATCTCTTTTCCAGAGGCTCTCAGTAGACTTCCCTTTATTTCTCGGTGACCCAAGATGGGCTATACAGCCACCTCTAGACCAATCATAGGCAAAGAGGAGCAGGATTGCCATCACTGGCTTAGACCACACATGGTTCAGCCAAGGGGCCGGGCGCATTGTCCTGAAACGAAACTGGGGATCTGTTAGAAGGGAGAATGGGGAACAGTTTGGGAAGGCAGTGCCTGGCATGGTGTGTGAAACATGGCCTACTTGTCAGGAAGAGATGGCGTTGCCCCAGTCACAAGCAATAATGGGTCTCAGGGTCGGCCCCTTTCTGCCAGCCATTCCTTTGCACAGCACACACATATCTACACTTGCTTTGTGAATCCCCAGAACTCTGTAGAACCAGGTAACCCCTTGGCCTGATCATTTGTTGAAGAGGGTGGCAAAGTGAAGGCAGAGGCCTTCTCCTGGTCATATGCCAGGTGCAGTGACGATCTGACTGAATGATTCTATGTTCATCTGAGATGTCATTCACAGAGATGTATGCTCTCTGAGGGCAGGCTTGCTTCTTCCTTGCTCACTGGTGTAGCCTCAATATCTAGCTCCATGTGTGGTATGGAGTAGTTGCTCAATCAAAGTGGAGCAAATGGATGAGCAGACTGATGACTGAAGAAGATATGTCTCCACTGAGTGATGTCTCTGGAACCAGAATGGTGCCAGGCTCTGTGAGTTATCTGGAACTTGCTCTCCATCTCTAGGGAGTTTATAGTCTAACATTAGGGTAAAAGCTGATGGCTAGAGGATTGCAGTACAACCAGAGGGAGAGCCTGCCCTCTCTTGTCTTTAGGCATCAAAGACCAGCATTCACTTGCCTGTGGATGTTGTACCTTGTCATAACTGCTTTTTGTGATGAGACTACAAGAATGTTTTATCTACCAAAACAGACTTTGTGGAAGAAAGAAGATTCCTCCTTTACTCCTCTTTCTGTACCTTTAAATATTTATGAATATAGCTGTGGAAGGGGGAAAGAAAAATCATGTTTCTCTCTCTTCCATGTTAGCTTGTTAAACTAAGGAGGAAATGATTATTCATTCATTTGTCTGAACCATGTTTATTGGATGACCAAGGATGTAAACAGCCTTCGTAAATGATGAAGTATAATCCAGACGTAAAGGATGATTATTAAGGAAAAGAGGTGCTGGTGGCATGTTATAAGAACTTTTCCTCACTCCCATTTTTGCTCTTAAAAATCTGTTTTACTTTTATTTTAGACCTAGAAGGTTTTGACTCTGTGGTATCATCTACTGAGAAACTCAGTCACCCAACGACAAGCAGACCAAAAGCCACGGGGAGGCGGCCTCCATCCCAGTCCCTCACATCCGTAAGTGTCTCCTCATGGTGTCTCCTTACTTCTCTACAGTTAAAAGCAGGAAATATTAGAGACTCTAGCTAAGGATTCTTTTGCAAATGGCTGATTTGAAGATAAGCCAGGAGAGGAAGGTCATAAGATACACTGCTGACCAAAAGTGATTTGAGAGTCTTCTGGAATCAAGCACTATTTCTTTCTATTTGTTCTTTGTGTAACTGCCAGCGAGGTGGGCACTCCCTGTTCCCACCTTCCTTCTGTCTCCTTCCAAACTGATTCTTGTTTGAACCTGAAATTAAATTGGTAAGAAAAAAATGTCATGTTTTATGGTGGCAAAGGAGACCGAGGCTGGTTTGGTCTATAAACAAAACAAAACTTTACTCAAGAAAGATCTGCCATTATACAGCACTTAGCGTGTCCGAGCCTTTTTCTTCCAAAGCCCCATCATCAGCACCCCTTCATGGAACCTAATGCAGACCTTTAGGAGATTGTTTATAAACATAGAAGGCACCCAGTGATGTAGGAGAGACCAGTCAGAACATTCCAGATAACCCATAGAAGTTTTTGGTTTGGGTCATTTTGAATAAATTATTTTCTTATTGGAAACCTTTCTGAATTGGGAACCATTCCCTCATCCAACCACCTTAGTGGAAACACACCTTTTGTACCCAATTTGAATAACAAAATGCATAAAGAAGAAAGTAAATTACCTGTAATCCTGCTCCGCAGAGCTGAGAACTGTTAACCTCTTGCTGTATATCCTTAGCTCTTATTTAAAATTCTATTTGTATATACAAAATTATTTCTTCAAAAATGGGATCACATAGTACACATTGTTTTGGAACTTGCTTTTTACCCCCTTGTGCGCCTTTCTCCCCAGTCATTACACATTCTTCCATAATGTCACATTAATGGCTGCCTAGTGTTCTAACCCGTGAATGTGCAAGTTTAGCCAGTGTGCTTTTTTTTTTTTTTTAAGATTTTATTTATTTATTTATTTTCCCCCCAAAGCCCCAGTAGATAGTTGTACGTCATAGCTGCACATCCTTCTAGTTGCTGTATGTGGGACTTGGCCTCAGCATAGCTGGAGAGGCGGTGTGGCGGTGCGTCGGTGCACTCCCGGGATCCGAACCCGGGCCGCCAGCAGCGGAGCGCGCGCACTTAACCGCTAAGCCACCGGGCCGGGCCTAGCCAGTGTGCTCTTATTGGACGTATATGTTGTTTCGAGTTCTTCATTATAAACTTTTTAAGATCTAGAGAGCCTTAAGGCATCCAGAATTAAATACAGAGAAATTTAAATTACCATCCCCCACCCAACCCTTGATCCATACATCCCATGTCTGGGAGATTGTGTGTATTTTGGGGGACCAGGTAAAGGCATTTCATCTTCATTTTGCTTTTAGATTACTCATTTGTTCATTCACTCATCCAACAAATATTTATAGGCATCTATCTCTGTGGGCTCAGCTCTGTGCCAGGGACCAAGGCTATATCTGGGAACGAGATGTACACAGTCCCTGCCCACAGGAAGCTTATGGCACAATGACTTGAAGTTTGGCATTTTATATGGAACAATTATATTTGCATACTTAAAACAACAGGATACATTTGTGCTTTAAAGGATTTACTATACTCTCTTCCCTTCATTCCCATCCATTCCCATAGGGATTGTACATTGAATTCATATTTACTCCTCTTCCACTTAGCACCTGAGGTTTTTCATAGCAAAATGGGATTAGTGGATATGGACATATTCCTAAAAAGCCATTGGAGGGAATGATTGAGGAAATGTACCAGTCATGACTCCCCAGCCTGGGGCCTCTCACCCTAGTTCAAGCTATTTATGTTTATAGGATTCAAAGAGCAAGTTTTGATTGGCAGCACATGAACCATAGGTTATATAGGAGGAAACTGGCTTTTTGAATAAAATCTCAAAATGAAAGGGTACAGACATTGCAAGGTGGTTAAGCAGTTAAGCTTAGATTAATAAGAAAGTTTAGTGGTGGGGTGTTGTTCTAGGTAATTGGATTTTCAGATTAAATGAAGATTAACAAATAAAACCTCTTTATTTTAAAACTTTGCTTAAAAATTCCCTAAATGTATTAGGTTTCTGCCTTAGTAAGTGGAGTAAATAGAAGAAAAAAACAGTATTTGTAGACATGATTTTTCTATAATAATGCCAAGTGGTGATTCTAAATAGGACTATTTTCCTATCATAGGGGTAGAAGAGATAGAGGTGAGGCTGAATATGAGCTCAACCAAAGATATATCTGGAAGATTCATCATTAATAAAGATTCCTTGCCATGAGAACTCTTATTTTCACTTGTTTTGTCCTAAAATAGGAAAATTCTAGCACAGTAATCATTTATGACCAAGCAAATGCCAGTGAATTGGTTCACATTCATCTGACTTTTCCTTCTTCACAGTGAGGCAGAAAGGGTAGGAGTGGTGTTCTCATATTTTACCAAAAGGTGCTGCCATTCTGTAAATATACCTCACCAATGATAGAATCCAAAATGAATGTTGATTGTTCCCAGCAATGAGGGCAGAGGTTTAGCAGCAGGTACCAAATTAGATGTGAGTTAGCTGTGCTGGTAGGCAGATCTGTGCTCTGGGGCTGTGGAGACACTGGTCACTGGACCACAGGCCTGGGGATCCCTTGCCCCTGGAAACAGTTTCCTCTCAGACAAGTCCTTTTAGGCACTTCAGTTTACAGCAGATTTAGCGGTCCTGCAAAAGGCTCAAGGAAAAGGAGCAGGAGGGAATGGAGGAGGTTAGAGGCAGCCTCCTCTTGACCTGTGTGTCCTTCCCCACTGGACTGTCAGCCCCGTGAGAGCAGGGACTGTGGCTGGCACGTCGCTATGAAGTGCAGTACCAAGCTCAGTGCTTGGCATATGGCAGCAAATGTTTAGAGAGAGGAGGGAGGCTCCAAGGGATGGAGGGAGCAGGAAAAGATGGATGACAGATGCTTGCACAGATGAAATGACCGATGTGCATCAGTGGAAAGATCCCATAGAATGAGTGCTGGTAAAGGAAACCTTGCTTCTCGGTCCTAGTTCTGCCACTCTCTCTAATGCACAGATAATAATACAGTTTCTGCTTCACAGTTATAATGAGGAGACAAACAAAATAGAAGTGTTGAGTGCTCTGAAAAGCACACAGCATTATGTTAACAAAAGCTATGTCAGGTAAGGCGTAATTCTGACAAAAGCATTTTCTTTTGGCTTTATCCAGTCTTCCCTTTCAAGCCCTGATATCTTTGACTCCCCAAGTCCTGAAGAAGAAAAAGAGGAACACGTTTCGCTTGCACACAGAGGAGTGGACGCGTCCAAGAAAACTTCAAAGACTGTTACCATATCCCAAGTGAGTGACTAGTCATGTGAGGGTGTCCCAACGGCACGGGATCCCTAACTTTTCGTGTATGCTCTGACGATGAGTTAAACCAAACAAGGACAAACAGTTATCTTAGTCAGTTTGGGCTGCTATAACAAAGTGCCATAGATTGGGTGGCTTATAAACAACAGGAATTTATTTCTCACATTTCTGGAGGCTGGAAGTCTGAGATCAGAGTGCCAGCATAGTCAAGTTCTGATGAGGGCCCTCTTCAGGGTTGCAGACTGCCAACTTTTCATTATATCCTCACATGGCTGAAAGAGGGTGAGAGAGCTCTCTGGGGTCCCTTTTTTAAGGGCACTAATCTCATTCTTGAGGGCTCCACCCTCATGACCTAATCACCTCCCAAAGACCTCACCTCCACATACCATCACAGCGGGTGTTAGGACTTCCACATGTGAATTTTGGGAGGACACAAACATTCAGTCCATTACAACAGACAACACAAGTTTTTGTCATTCTTTAGTGACAGTGATTAGTTTAGCCATCAAAATCCCTGAGGCATGTTACAAAGTCTCCAAAATTGGGCAGGATCCCTGACATACAAGTTCAGTTGTTGATTTCTCATGTTTTCTCTTATGGTTTGATCTCCTCTTCATACCGTCAGCCACACATACACAAATGCCCTCGCACACTGCCACCACCACCATCACCATCACCATCACAACAACCAAAACAATTTAAAAACCCTGGAGTTGTCAAGAAAGAATACATTAAATATATTAAATGCTGTGCCCTCTGCCCACAGATCTTGACTTTTATGTTCAAAACTGGTGGTATCACAAATTATGGTTGGTAGCTCATGAATTTGAATAACTAATGGGGGTCTCTTAAAAGCTGATTTGGATTCATTTATTAGGATAAATTTATAGCCTAAAAACATTTTAATTTCATTGCATGCCTAGGGGATGGTATAGCTATTTTAAGTTATTGGCTGGTAAGAAACAAAGAAGATAATGTTTAGCAGCTGCATGTGATTTACAAAGGGTACCCTGTACAAGTTCTGTTCTTTCTATGAATGTGAACCAATATTTTAAAATTCCGTTTTCTTGTACTAAGAGAACCCAGTCAATTGGAATTATTTTCTGTAAACATTAGCAACTGCTTTCTGCCTAAGAGCAGAAAGCTGCAGTCATTTTTAAGGCACTTGACGCAGGAATTAACACAAAGAAATCAAAGGTTATGTGGGATTTTCCTTCTTATAGATTTAAGAATTTACACGTATAGATTTTCTTAAAAATCTGATACAGTAAGCAAAAATATGATCCTATAAAACAGATCAATTATCATTATTCACAAAACTGAAGCATTCTTCCTTTGTAAAAGGATTCCATTTGCAGAAATTGGATTTAGACCCATTTTTTTCCGGTGACCATAGGTATAACTATAGTTGCATCTCTCTGACATCCCTGGGGTGTCTCTACAGTGACATCTACTGGTGGGCAGCGGCTCTTCACGTTTCTGATTTGCATAGTTCTAGTCCATTAGCTTATTTCACTTCCGCCGCGTTGTCATCTCATATTGTTTATTGCTTCTAGAAATTCCACTTGAACTAATTTGGTGAGGGCATATGGTGGCCTGTACTCTGTGAGGACTTAAAAAAGTACTTGTTGGCTGAAATGGGCCAGGAGAGCGAGTCATGTAGGAAATGCTAAAAGAAGCATTGATTCCAGAAGTGCCTGGAAGTCAGTCAGTGTGAGGACAGTGGTGGGTTGGGGGAGGTACATAAGGATGCAGGGTGGGAAATGGGGAAAAGTATGAACCCAGGAATAGGAAAGAAACGAAGAAAAGAAGGACAGGAGAGCATGAATCTTTAGACTCAGGCAGTCACAGTCAGGGTACCGGGCTTGAGGCTCCAGCTAATGGGGAGGGGAGTGAATCCCAGTTCTGCCGGTTATTAGCTGTGAGATTTGGGGAATTTCTCAACCACGTCCCTAAGCCTCAGTTTCCTGCTCAGTCAAATGTGTGTGCCAACTGATCCTCGTTCCAATTGTCTAGCCGACGTCCGGCATATGACCAGTGCTCCATGTCAGTCCCTCTTCCCTCTTACTATAACTCCTACTAACAATAAGCACGAGATGGCAGATCGCTATCCCTGGCAGCAGAAAGCGCTTTTCCTCAATGGTAACTTGGCAGAGAAAAGGCGAGCATAGAGGCTGGGAATGATGGCCCATCTGCTTCTGGCTCACTCTGCCCAGTCTCTCCCTCTAGCACAGCCTGAATCCAGACTCTGCCTCCTCACTGTGCCAGCCAAGCCCCTTCTTGGCTCCTGCTCTGAGCGCCTGCTGCTGGAGCCAGTCCCAGCTGCGTTGCCAGCTTCCCCACCAGCCTCAACTTCTGCCCCGTCACTCACTCCCTCACCTCGCAACATCCTGTCGGTTACTTGCCCTCCTCCCCACCTGCCTACGATCTCACCCTCCCTTAGGCCTGCCACGTGCCCCTCTTCATTCGCACCCATGACTGTCCCACTCTGCTCTCCTGGCCTCCTCAGGACACTTCTCCATCAGGCCTCCCCCGCCGGTCTCCTCCATCTTCAGCCTGGCCCTCCGTTGGCTCTTTCCCTTAGCATATCATCCAGCCCAGGGTCTCCCCTTTGAAAGCAAACAAAACCTTTCTTGATCCTGTCTCCTCATGAGGCTTCTCTGTGAACAGTCTCTCTCTCTCCAATCTTCTTTCCTCAACCAAGCTTCTGGAAAGAGAGTTCTAAACTTGCAGGCCACACCTCTCCCCTCCCACTCAGACACTGACCTGTCTTGATCAGGTTTCAGTCCCTTGCGCCACCAAATGGGCTCCCCCACTTTTCCTCTCAACACCCTTGACCCATGTATCTATCCATTTTTTCCTTTGGGAAACTCTCCTCTAGGGGACTTCCATAACCCAGGCCCCTCTTCTGGTCTGGCTTCGTCCCCTCTATCCCACTCTGTCCCAGTCCCCAAGGGCTCTACCTTCTCTCCCCAACTCTTCAGTTTGGGAAGTACCCAGGTTCCATCATTGGGCCTCTTCTCTTCTAGTTCTGTGTCATCCCCCCGCATGGCTTCCACTTCCTCTGGTGATTTCTCTGGCCCAGCTTACTCTTTTAGTCATTGGCTCTGCCCGCAAGACATGTCCCCTTGGCTATCCCTCAGGCTCCTAAAATTCAATGTGTCCAAAACTGAAAGCGTTTTCTGGGCCTTCAGCCTGTTCATCCTCCCATGAAAGGTACAACCTCAATTACTAGTTCCTCCATCCCCTCCCATGGCCCTAGATCTGTACTTCCTCCTCACCCCCTACAGCCTGTCCGGGACCACATCCTCCTGGTGATGGGGTGTCTGCTCCATGAAGGCAGAGACTGCATCTCTGGGTTGGATGAGCCTGCTTTCACTGCATCTCTCGAAGCTGTCTTCCCTCTATCCTCTTTGCCACTGCGTAAGTCAAACCCTCACCATTTCTAGTTTTCATTGTCTGAGAGTCTCCCAGCAATTCTCTCGACCTCCAGACCTGCCAACCTTTAGGCCCTTCTGCAGCCGGAGTGATCATTAGCTTGGCATGCAATCTTTTTAACCCTTTCCATGAGCCCCTTCTACCTGCCCAGCCTTAGCTCTCCCACCCTGCATCTCCCCTGCCCCCTCTGATGCTCTAGCCCTGTGAATGACTGCTTCCCACGAATGTATTTCACTCTCTGGTGTCTATGCCTGTGCCTAGTGTGTTCCCTCCTCCTAGAACTTTTTTCTGCAACCACCCTTCCTCGCTCCTGGCTGCCTCCTAGTCCTCCTCCTCCAGGATGAGGCTGTCAGCTCCTCCCTGATGCCTTCCCTCCAGGATGGTTGGTCCCTTTTATGTACTCCTGTGGCTCTCTGTGCTTACCTCCTTGTGTGCAGACTCCTCTCTCATCTGTGATGTGTTGGTTGGTCTGTCTGTCTGCACCTCACTGGGTTCTGAGCTCCTTGAGGGCCAAGAAAACGTTTTACTCACTTCAGAGTTTGCAGAGCCTAGCAAGTAGGTGGGCCTCTGGACTTGTACATTAAACCAGGTGGGAACTACCTGTCCAGAAAGGTGATCGAATTTAAGACACAGAGGGGAAGGCACTGGAAGGGGGGATGTCTGCAACAAGCAGGCCCCTGGGGACATGTGGGTGAAGGAATGAGTGAGGAGTGTGTGGAGGGAGGTGGGGACAGTGATGTGGATGAGGGGTTTACCGAACATGAATCCCCGGCCTGAATCCTCTTTGCCCTCCCTTGGCACAGGTGTCCGACAACAAAGCATCCCTGCCGCCCAAGCCGGGGACCATGGCTGCTGCTGGTGGTGGTGGGCCAGCCCCTCTGTCCTCGGTGGCACCCTCCCCCATGTCATCCTCTTTGGGAACAGCCGGACACAGAGCCAACTCCCCGTCTCTGTTCGGCACTGAAGGAAAACCAAAGATGGAGCCTGCGGTCAGCAGCCAGGCAACCTTGGAGGAGCTGAGGACGCAGGTCCGTGAGCTGAGGAGCATCATCGAGAGCATGAAGGACCAGCAGAAGTGAGTGTCTGGGGACCCTTCTTCAACCGCTTCCTGGGTTGCTTTCCACTGGGCCAGGCCTAGTACTGCAAGCCTGGGGGCCAGCCTGCCTGGAGGGTGGGCCAGCCTCCCCGGTGATGGTGGCAGCAGGGGTGGGAGTGGGTGCGGACCTGAGAGGCTTCATTTAGCTCAGCTCCATGTGTAAACCGGACCTGCTAAATGCGGGAAGGGCACGGGGCTGGCCATGGGGCATGCAGGGAGGAGTCACTTACAAGGACTGATGCACTCAGCAGGCTGCTAAAAAGAAAGATCTTTCAATCCCCATAAAATACAGTATGCATGTGTACTTCTTCTTAATAAGCCCAACAGGCAGCTTTTCCTCTAGCATCAGAAAAATTGCACTTTCTTTAATTAGCTGCCCCATGAAGTAATTGGCTTACGTGTAGGAGCTGTAATATATGAAAAAGATGTAGAGAATCTTTAAACCTGAGACTACACTCAGCAAGATGTTCTCACCATGAGACTCAGGGGGCTTTCTCCATGCATGCCTACACACACGCCCTCTCCGCATCTCTAATCCTCAAGGAGCACTTCGATGGCGAGAAGGACCTGTAAGCCAAAATAAATACCACACGTACATATTACCCAGGATGCCGTATGCAGTAACAAAAATGGGGAAAGGATTAGAAATCGAGAGGTACTTATCCGAGTAAACTGAGGCTTAGTGGGTTTACGGATCAGTTCGCTCTTTCTTGAGGGAACAGGGGCGGTGGCGAGGCAGGGAGGCATCTCGAGGAGGTGTTTCCTGAGTAAGATTCTGCAAGATGACCTAGGATTGCCAAGTGCAGATGCCTCCAGCAGAGGGAACAGCACGGGCAAGTTCATGGCAGCCAGGGCAACCAGGTGAGTCAGCACATCCCTGGTGCCTGACCTTCTAGATGGGGACGTGCCCAGGCCAGTGGTGGGCGATGGGACTGGAGACCTGCAGTCATGCCCTCGGGAGGACGTCTGCAGCTGGCAGAAGCCCCACTACCTGCCTCCCCCAACAGGGCTGGAGGGTCCTGAAGTGTTTTGTGGTCAGATACTTCTGGGAATAATTTCTTCTCTGAAGCACTGCTCAGAGCCTTTGCTGTCCGTCGGGAAGATGGAGAGGAGAGTGTGTGCAGTGTTTCCCAAACGTACTTAACCACAGAGCCCTGTTTTTCCTAGAGCATTTTAGGATGAGGGTTCTGTGGAACTCACTGAGCATTGTGGCTCTATTCAGGTTCTGTTCCAATCAGGCTGGGAAGGATCATATGAAATTGGGGCCCCCTGGACTTACCCCGACCTGGAAGGGGCCCATCAGATAGATATGCAGAACCAGCAGGATGGAACTAGAGAGGGTCTCCTGGGGCCAGTCAGGCTGCCCCTAATGCCTTAAAGTCTCCAACTCCTATCTGGCTCTGTAGGTTACAGGTTTGGGTACCCAAAGGCCCCATCCATGTCCAGGTGACTTGTGTTGCTTGCCTAGACAGTGACCCCATGGCCCCAGTACAACCAGAACACTGGTTCTCAGCCTTCTGAACAAGATCATCATTGGGTCAGACTGGCCTAGATCCAGAGCTTCAGCCCTTTGGGCCCTCTGAGAGGTGCTTAGAATCTCCCCACACATCTGAAATGGCCTGTGCCTGCCTCAGAGTGAAGAACCACCAGTGCTTTGGGGCTGCTCCACCCTGTGTTCCTCCCCCAACTGTGAAGCCCAGGCATAGTTGGCTGGAATTGTCCTTCCCCAACGAACATTTTTTTTTTTTAATAATTTTATTTATTTATTTATTTTTCCCCCAAAGCCCCAGTAGATAGTTGTACGTCATAGTTGCACATCCTTCTAGTTGCTGTATGTGGGACGCGGCCTCAGCATGGCTGGAGAAGTGGTGCATCGGTGCGTGCCCGGGATCCGAACCCGGGCCGCCATTAGCGGAGCGCGCGCACTCAACCGCCAAGCCACGGGGCCGGCCCAACCAACATCTTCTTCAATCAACATGTCATGGTGGCCCCTCTCCAAGGCTTCCTTCCTCAGCTTGGTCTTCATGCCCAGGGGCACCGGGTCCCCACCAGTCTCCTACCTTTGGTCTTGTTGTCACCTTCGTTTCAGCCTTCAGCTCAAATCTGTGCTCACTCCCCTCATCCCCAAGTGTGCTGGTTCCCACCTCCCTGCTTCTGCTTTGGCTCTTCTCCATCCATGCCCTCATCTTCTTTGCTCCTCAAGGACTTGGCCCTTTTTTACTAGTTCAAGACTTAGTGACTTTCTTTGCACTGCTTTCCCCAACTAACTCCCTCCACCTGGACCACTCGAGGCTTTGCCTGCCATAGTCTTACTGGAATCGTGCTCTTTGCTTAGGATCTCACCTTCTGCTTCTTTCCTAAGCCCTAAGTAGTATGCACTGAGGTAGTGGTGCATGGTGTGTGCTCGAATAAGGACAGTAATGAATCATAACCAGTTAATGTCAGAGAACCCAACGTGGTGACAGCAGTGCCCGGACACTGGCCCAAGTATAGGGACCATCATGGTGCTCATCTGAAGTGAGGACCTCATTTATTGTGCTGTTTCTGCAGTCCTTGTTTTTTGATTTTCCAATCTAGTTTGTAAACGTGTACATGTAGAACGGAGTGGTTGATGAGGTAAAATGGAGCACAGCTTTGACCAGAGTTGGGATGGTGGCAGTGTCCTAAGTATAGAGCCCTGAGTTTGCAAGACAATTAGTTTTGTTCCATTTCATTATTTAATGCTGGAAAGGGCATCAGACTGTGTGTTCTAACTCATGTCTACTTTCTCCATGACATGATGACCATATTGTAAGGTCACTTACCTTACCTTCCAGTTTTCAAGTATGACTCTTTGTAGGATTTTCTGAGAATCTGTGAAAACATACCAGTAACGTTTTAGTCATTTAAAACTCTGTAAAAATAAAGGAAATATATATGGAGTGGTAAATGTGTCTGCAATGAAAATTATTATGAAAGTACATTTAAGGACCAGTGATGCTGTAATAAAGGTTAGTTGGAGGGAAGATGACAGAATATGAGCCTGGATACCTAGAGCCTCGTCATTGGGCAAGTCAGGCTACCTCTTTGGGCCTCAATTTCTCCATCTTCTCCTTTAGGAAAAGCTTGGACTGAAGGATCTCAAAGGTCATTTCAGAACTACTATTTGAGGGCTACATATTTTGGGAGCCCAGAAATAATGGCAAGCCTTGCCATCTGCAACAAACTTTAAGCAATAGCAATGCAAAGAAAATATAATGTTTTGTCCACATTTTCTTTGTAAAAGGATCAGATGGATTTTGTAGTGGTAAGAGACTTCTTACCTCTTGTTGGGGAATTCTGGGCATTTGTTTAATTTCATTGCCATTTGCTTTTCAGACGAGAGTTTAAGCAGTTACTGTTGGAGTTGGATGAAGAGAAGAAAATCCGGCTTCGGTTGCAGGTGGGTCCCTACTGCTGTGAGAGGTTCAGTTAGGGGTGGGAGCAGAGTCAGGGCTTTATTTTGAAAATAAATAATTGTTACCTTCTGCAGATTCAGATGCGCTTCCTGTGGCAATTTTCTTAGAATTGTACAGGCTCATTTCACATCCTCTCCTGGGATCCAGGAAGTCTTGGGGAAGGAAGGCATTAGTAAACGTGCCCCCACTTGGGTTTGTCATTTGGAATTTATCTGAAACATCTCCTCTGTGAAAAGTTACCCCCAGTTTCTGGAGGCCTCATTATAGTAACTTGCAGAGGGCATGGTGCTAGAGGGACCCCACTGCCAGCTGGCTTCTGTCATGCGGTCATTAGAACTCCCAGGACCACAGCTGTCCACACTTGGCACTTGCTCTTCATCTCTTTACCTCTCCCTGATGGCCATGTCAGTCCTGCCAGGGCATCAGAGCCCTGTCTCCCTCTAGCCTCTAATTCAACTCAGCCATTACCAAATGGTGGCGAGTGTGCGGGAGTTGCAAATGGCCAAAGGTAGACTTGCAGCTCTCATCTAGTTGGTGCCCTTGGTGGTGACTGGGGGACCACACTGCTTAAAGAAAGCATAGGTGACTGCTTGTCATCACTTTGGAGGTGCTAATAGACACTGCCTTGGGCCCAACCACAGCTGCCTTCCAACATTGCCGGGTGGTCCAGTGTGTCAGGAAGGCTGCTCTGCCCTCTGGCCAGGAAACTGGAATTATTGCTGTTTTTCACAAAGTTTAGATACTGGTAGCCTGAGAATTAAAATATCCACCATATCCTAGTTCATCGTGTCTGTGTGCCTGTTCTTTAGGTTTATGTCATTTATGGTGTGGTTATCAACTCTTCATTCAGATGTCGTTTTACCCATTTCCTTTTAAAATTGTCAGGTGGATTATTTTCTTTCAATCAACCAGGTTGATTATCTTTCAGCTTGTACCAACCAGCCAATTCATTATGATTTTGTTTGGCTCTTGTTTTTCTTTTATAGATGGAAGTTAATGACATAAAGAAAGCTCTTCAATCAAAATGAATACTTGATAAATGAAATGTTGCGTTATTCATCCTGAGTCCAAGACTCAAATTTTCCGCCCCAGCCAAAATAACCTTGTGCCAAAAGATTAAAGGTTTGCCTCAACATGTCCCTGTTTGAAAGATTAGCACAAAAGTCTTGATAGCACAACACAAGTTCCATCCAAGAGGAGACTCTTCCTGGGTCTGGCACTGGTTGTGACTTAGAGCAAATTGTGCTAAAGGCTTTTTTACTATGAGATCTCATGCGAAACGAAAACTCAGGCAGTTTAGTCCGTAGTGGTACTATTTTGATGATATTTTCCATTAATAAAATGTAATTTCAGATTATTCGTTTACAAGCTTTATAATTTTATGATTTTTTAATCGTGTTTTGTCACAGATTCCCCCAGTGTTTGTATGACACACAGTCCGGGGCAAGTGTCCCATTCTTTTGCTTCAGGCGGAAAGCTGCCTCGCTTTGTGTCCCCTCTAGGATTCTATTACATATGCAATTTTAGGTCCAACCTGTCCCTTCCCCTGCCAGCAAACCCTACCACCCTAAGATAAATTTTAGCTTATATATGATGGTATATTTACAAAAAGAGAAAGAGAAAATCTGGTATTTGCAATGATCTGTGCCTTCTTTTTACCACCCTCTTGATTGGAGCTTTTGTGATGCAGCTAACTAGATTCAAAAAAACAAAAATTTTTTTTAGCCACTTCTCAAAGTCCACTAGAGGCCACTGTCTTCAAAGTTTCTCTCCCCTAGCCAAAGGTCCTAAGAGGAGACAGCTGTGAAGTTGGCCGTGCTCTGTGGTACCAGCTGCAACTTTTAAGTTCTCCTAGTTTTAGGTTGTTCATGAAACTAGAAATGTCACCCCTGCTTGATTTTTCATCAGCCAAGTTAAACCCCTGCTTCCCGTCCTTTGCACCTTTTGCGTGAACAGAATATGCATTATTAAAGCAAAAATAAAAGTAAAATGCAAATGAAAACAAGGGGGGGAAGTTGTATTATTTCCTGCACTGGGTTATCCGTGTGTGTTCTTGTTTCAGCTGTACTCACATAATGTCATTTGCCTTGCTCTCTTGTAACCCCTTCCTCAGGTCCAAGACAATGGGGAGAGGCTCTTGTTGAAGTGTAGCCATTGGATCTTTCTTGCATTTATGGAATTGCTTTTTCCGTCCCCAGGAAACTGGTGTTTGCTTGTCTGCTTTATCTTTGTAGCAAATGGACAGTTCAGCCTTAGACCATGTAACTATTTTCTCATCCTTAGCTGAAAATAAGGGGCATACTGTATTGCAAGATTGTTTGGGGATGGGGGGGTGGGGGGTGGTCACTTAATGGCCCCTGAAGATGTTTTATGTGTTTCTAAAAAGCTGCTTTGTCTATTTCCTGAGTTTTAGAGTGAAACTACTAAACATTAATAGATTTGCACCACCACAAAGAATGAGAATTGATAACAGTGAAGGAGTGAGGAAAAAAAAAAAATCACCTCGTGTTATTGATCATCGAAAGTATTACAAATAAATGTCTCTTCCTTTCTCTTCCTCTCTCCCTTCCCCAACCATCCTCTTGCCTACAAATTCATCCTTGCTGCTTGAGGCTGCTACTTCCTCCAGAGTATTTACAAAGTCCGGACACCCTGGTCTTCCAGGGTAAGGGCACAGTTAAGGGAAGGGAGTGTGTAAAGAAAGAAAGAAACCTCCAGTCCTTCATTCCCATGTCTGAACATATTGCCTTTTTAGTAGCCTTGCTCTCAATGTGCTTGGGGACAGGAGCACCAAGTCTCCCAGGGTAGCATAAAACATTCCTGGACCCCTTGACTGTTCTAAGCATTTCTATGTTTGTTAAACTTGAAGAAGACTTCAGAGATTTCCCACCGCCTAATATAAGAATGAGGATTGGATTCTTTGATCTTTGGATTTCTCATTTACTCATCATGAAAATCCCTAATGATATAGTTTTATATAATGTGTATACAGAGTGGGGTTGTTTGTTAATAATTAAATTGAGAGGTTGGAGTGCCCTCGTGGGGCACTGGCGACCTGGAATGTAGAGGGCTGTCATCTTCCCCGCATAGAGGCCACTGGCTTTCTTGGTATAAGGAGAGAGAGAAGCGATTCTAGGAGAGGAGAGGTTGGCGTATCCAGCTTCATTACTGCCCCTTGGGCTAACCAGCGAGAGGATTCTACATCATGGAACTGGACAAGCCATTGCCCAAACGGCCACCATCTTTACTCTTTACAAAAACGGAATCACTCATCAAGAATATTGAAAAGCTTGGAAGTATCACTTTTGAAAAAATTCTTTTGCATTCAGCATGGACTTGACCGGCATCTATGGAGATTATTTTTTTGCTTCATTTTCTAAAGTTGTATTTAGAAAAGTCTTAAGTATTGTGCTTTGTAAAGAAGATGATTAAAATGAAATTTTGTGAAAATATTTTTGTCGAAAGTTGTCATGGTCCAAGAGGAATGATTTCTTGGAATTCAAACCATTTTTCTCTATTTTACAAAATTTGATTACTCTTATAGATATGTCTTCAGAAGACATGGAGGGCCGGCCCCATGGCTTAGCGGTTGGGCGCGCGCGCTCTGCTGCTGGCGGCCCGGGTTCGGGTCCCGGGCGCGCACCGACGCACTGCTTCCCTGGCCAGGCTGGGGCCACGTCCCACATACAGCAACTGGAAGGATGTGCAGCTATGACATACAACTATCTGCTGGGGCTTTGGGGGAAAAATAAATAAATAAAATTAAAAAAAAAAAAAGATGTGGAATATAGTGCCCGCTCCCCCCACCACCTATCTTTCCCAAGTGAACAGAAATAATCCATTAAAATCTGTGGCTGTGAATTCCATTTTAAAATCGTTCGACTATACATTCGTATTTAAGCAGAAAATTCTAGTTAGGTCTAAATTCTTTTTTGGTGTAAAACTCATTAAATGATCATTATTCAAATAATTATGTAAAGCCACTTTTATTCATACACAGCCCTCTAGACAGCATACTCAAGTACATGATTTGTTTTCTCCCATAAAGACAACCTGTATCTGTCATCACGTGTGTGTCTTTGGTTACTAATGGCAGGGTTTTATTTCCTTTCGCAGCCAGCTCCTTGATGGGAAAACCGCAGGGTGTATAATTTATTGCTCGCTCACAGTTGCCACGTCTGTATACAAATAATCCCCAGGTCCCACAAAGGCCTTTGTATTGTAACCTGAGGTCATCATGGTCTCTTTTTTGTATTAGATTAGGTTTTAGTCCTCTAGTTATTTTAGCACAAATTAATGTCAAGATGTTTTAGCACCAAGAGGGCTTAGTGAAAAGCTTTTCTCTTTGGTTTTGTACAAATGAGAATTGTAACAAAGCAACGCGTGTGTGGGTGATAGGTGCTCAGCATGGCTAATTGCGGCAACCAACAGAGGGAAGGCTTGGCATTTATGACCTAAGCCTGGGGAAGAAGATGCCGTTCCCAAAATTAGCTCTAATGAGGGAACACAATGGCCAAGGCAAAGAAAACGCTTTCCCAGCCAGAAATAAATGTTTGTCAGTGGTGTAAGGACAGAGAGGGGGTCATGTTTCTTAAGGTGATGAACCGTTGCTGTCCTTCCTAGTTCTGTCACTAGGGTCACCAAGGCTTGTTCGCAACACATGGAGAAGGCAGCCCCTGAAGCCAAAGAGAATCCATGAAGTAGATGCAGGTCCCTGAGAGGTGGTTTTATTTTATGCCTTTTTAATCGGTCCCAAATTGGAGTGGCTGTGGGGGCAGCCCCTTCCTGTAAATGACAGTGCGTGCTTATCATGTTTGTTTGTGAATTCAGAATTCTCAGTAAAATAGGCTATTCCTTTTTTCTTGTTGGAGCAATAGGTGATAAAATATTTCAACCAAACAATAGAACAAGGTAACCTAGTAGATTGTAGCTAGAATTTTCTGAGTTAAAAATAGAAAGAGAAAAAAACTGAATAAAAGAAGAGTTGAATTCCTGGAAAACCAGCTTCATGGGGCAGTTCTCTTTAAATGGCCACAAGTTTAATTAAATTATGCAGATATAGCAATGTCACTTAAGTCGTGAACGCTTCTCTTCCCTCTCACCCCTATAGAATGTTACTAGTTCTCTAGCAAACTAAGGTTTGTTGGCAAGCTTTGAGCTCTCTGATGGAAAAGTGCCCTGGAAATGCAAAACTTCGTTATGGTATCTATTAATTAAAAAAAAAAAGTTTTAAGGGGTTTACAAACCAATTTTTAACCAAGCAGATAAGGCCATCCTGAAGCCAAACAGAAAAACTACGAAGAAATCAATAACATTTCCAAGGCTATTCCCCAAAACAAAAACAGATGTCTTAGGAAAAACGGAGTGGATTCTCTTCAAGCGTCTTATTTCTTATTCTGAATCTCAGTCTGAAAGAACTGAAGACTTGGCTGGGGCTGAAGCTCTGCTGTTGGCTGCTGAAGGGAAGAGATGAACAGGCACTGGACACTTATATGAAACACCCACCCATCCCTCTTCCTTGGCCCTGGGAGGTGTTCAAAAAATGTTCTTGTTTGTTCTCTATCACGGTGGTCTCCTTGGAGGAAATGAATCTGGAATGAGGAGAAGGACATGGATTGAGAGAGGGAGAAGTCTCAGAGGGAACTTCAGGCCTGGAGGTAGAACCGACCAGCTTTTATATCTATAAAAGAAGTATATAGAGAGATGTATCTAGTGCTGAGAATCTGGGAGGGGTTGATGAGGAAGACAAAACAGAAGAAGGTGGAGCTGAGGGTGAGAACCTTCAAGGTAAGAAGGGACACCATGTGCTAAGGACAGGCCTGTTGACCAGAGTCCTACCAATGAATCTTTTAAGGTTTAGAGAACCAGAATGATGACTGTGAGCTGCAATGTAGAACCCAGTCACCTTGAGTATTTTTAACTAACTTACTTTTTTTTTGATTATGAAGCTAATATTATATTATATCCAAAGTAGGAAATAAAAAATAGAAAGGCAAAAATTATCCTAATCTCATTCAGATATAGCCTTTAATTATTTTGGTGTCTCATAATGGAGGTCATTCTATGTATATAGTTTTATAGTCTGCTTTTTATAGTTAGTAGTAGTATTTCTTTGTCATTAATTGTTTTCAAAAACATGATTTGTAATGGCTGCATAATATTCTGTCTATAGATATGCTAAAGAGCATTTAACCAGTCTTTTCTTGAATATGTGTCGAGTGCTTAAGATGTGCCGGATGCCATGATAGGTGCTGAATGCAACATAGCCCCTGTCCTCAGGAAGCTCAAGTAGGGGGAAGCAGACAGGTGAGCAGGCGAGTCTTCCACAGTCTGAGAACATGACCACAGAGAGAAGTCCAGGGGCTTTGGAACTGCAGAGGAGAGGTGCCCAATGGAGCCTTGAGTGGGGGAGGTCAGGGAAAGAAGGGCATTTTTGGTTAATTCCATTTTTTTTTATGAGCTGTAATGATTTTTTTTAAAGCTGTAATGAATATCTTTGGGCATAAATCTATGTCCTCATTTACAATTTATTCTTTTTTTTCCCCCAAAGCCCCACTAGATAGTTGTATGTCATAGTTGCACATCCTTCTAGTTGCTGTATGTGGGACACGGCCTCAGCATGGCCGGAGAAGCGGTGCGTCGGTGCGCGCCCGGGATCCGAACCCGGGCCGCCAGTAGCAGAGTGCGCGTGCTTAACCGCTAAGCCACGGGGCCGGCCCTGAAATTTATTTTTAAAATAATTCCTAGAAGTGGAGTGTGAGTATGAATTACCTGAGATTTTTAGCAAGAATAATTTTTGCCTGATTTATAAACATATTTGAATTAACATTAGTATACAAATGTGACTAACCACCCATCTGCCCCTAAAGTTGTATTTGCCTAAACCTCTGTGGGTGTCAGGTCTGGATCTCTTCTGACTAGTCACTGCTCAAATGTCACCTCATCAGAGGCCATCCCTAACCCACTAAATAAAAGAGCACCTTTAGCCTTGATCCTCCCCTAGATTCCCCATATTGATATCCTGCGTCATCCCCCCACCCCCCAGAGACGTCTCTTTTCTGTCTCTCCTCCCTAGAATGAAACCACCATGAAGAGAGGTACTTTATTTTCTTCACTGCTGTATCCCCAGCACCTAAAACATTGCCAGGTGCATGGTAAGCACTTGATAACATATTTGTTGACTCAATAGATAAATTGGTAATGGTGACTGATGCCAAATGGAACTTATTCTATAAATTTGAGCAGCCCAATTTTACCCTTACTAAAACTCTATGCACAAAACTGTAGCATCAGGGAGGATTCATGACATAAGAAAATAGTTCTGAAGAAACTAGAAAATAGTTTCTGAAGAAACAAGAGGCACTTGTACTTGAGTCTCAGCCAACACCTGGACCCTAAGGAGAGTGCTTGCATCACCATAGATCTTAAAACAAGTTCACATGGTCTGTACACCATTATGTCTAAGAGTGTCATCCACTATTAG